AGCAACACAATTACACAAATGGTGCCCTGGAGAAAGTAGTACCCGTGGTCCGTATCACTCCGCTATTTTTCCTCGGCAAGAAATGTGCTCCGTCTTTTGAGAATATAGTTCCGTATGTTTTTGTAATTTGAAGTGGTTTCCGCGCCTAAAAAAAAATGCTTTAAAGGTATTTTCTTGTTTATTAAGACCGTAGGAATGTTTTAAAAACGTTTAAAAGAAAAGTCCAGAAAGTTCAGAAATACCAAAACTATAAACACGAAATGACAGGTTAAATCGTAGTTATAATAGTCAATCAGCTGTTCATAGTATTATTATCTTTAAGTGTTGCCAACCTATTTCCAAGCGTACACGGATTACGTGCATAATAAAACCACGCTGTTTTGTGTTGTTTGGTTGGAATCCTGATGTGCGGCAAAGTATAAACCGTGCGGCAAAGTATAAACCGTACGGCAAAGTATAAATATGCAGCAATTAGCAGCTTTCTGTACTATAAACAGTACAGGGAAGCCAACTTTGTCGGGTGACTGTAGGAAAAAACATTTTGGTGAATGTTCCATATAGGTAATACGCGTATGCGAAAAAATCGCTCATGGCAAAAATAATACGATCCTGATCAAATTTGTAAAAACGTGTCGTGTAAACCTACAACGAATGAGTCCGCGAACCAACACAATTAGAATACGCGAAAATGAGTTTATGAGGGTAATAAGAATAAGGTAAAGATTTTTACATGGGCATAATGAGTGAATTTCCAAACAAAATTTAAAATGTTAACCAATTGCAAATAGCTTATGTATGGCATGCAGGATAAGGAATTTTGTATATATTTTATGTATTTCTGTAATTGACGTAACCAATGCAGAACTTATGTAAATCTAGATAAATAAATGACTTATGACTTTAGAGTAAAATACCCCCGCCGCAGTAAACCTGCAGACTAAGCGAATTTCCATTTGCCTAACTGGATTTACACTAAAATGTCTCCTTTAAAATATCTCATTTATTCCCTATTTAAATAAAATTAGTTTAACGAGTACTTAAGTTTGCTGCAACAGGGAGGGTAAAAAGGTATTTGTTGTAAAATGTAATTGTTTAGTATGAAATGAATGCATTTTCCAAATTTGATCGAAATATGTTCATAAACAAGCAAACTACAACAGTTTACTTATTCTCCATAAGAATAACATAGGAATTTAAAATTTACAGATTTTTGGAGTTTGCTCTGTAACCATTAGGCACATAATAACGCTTCAATATACTAAATTATTTGTTTTTTTAAGCTCTACATAATGGTTTGGAAAGAAATTGCTAAATTTTAAGTTTTTAGGGTCAACAATGGGAAAAACCTATTTTTACCCCATAAACCCCTGTTCCCATAGTCCGATCATGCTGGTTCGCAAACTCGTTCGAATAAACGTGGGTTTACACGTTTGTACCAAATTTCATCAAAATCGGATGATTATTGCTCGAGTTATCGCGCTATTGGACACATATATAAATATAAATATTTATATTTATATGTGTGTCCAATAGCGCGATATATATATATATATATATATGTGAATTTGAACGGATGGTGTTTTTGGTCTCTAGGGACCTCAAAACAAAAAAAGTAAATCGGTCCCGGGTCCAGGTCTTACGATGAGTACTACGGTAATAGCTTATTCCCTATATGGGAAATTCGCTAAAAAAGAAATAATTTAGTTTATTGTTGCATGCCTACCGGTTGAGGATGTATAAGAAGTTCCCAAGTTATTCTTAAGGATAATAACAAAAATTTTTTAGTTTTCTTGTTCTTGGATTTTACTTAATCAAATTTGGTAATCTTTGTTTATTTCATTTTATTTAACAAAGAAATAATCTGACATTTTTAAGAAAATACGAGCTGCTATAAGCAGGTTGTTTTGTTCGTGGTATGTCTATATAGTAACCGAGCTTCACAACGGGAGGAGAACGTGGTTAGAGTTGCAAGTTTAAAAATCTAGGCCTGTTATGGATCTAAGATTAAAACTTAATTTTAACACCTAATTAACCTTGTGTGTAATAAAATTCTTTACATCTTACTACACAGAAACAGGTACTTTTCCTATTCCATCCATAGGATGGGAAGTTACCCTTTGCCATGCCTAAACACGGAAAAGTAACGTAATGTACTTTTACGCCACACTACATTATTTTGACGAACTTCCCACGCAAGGATTTAGTCCAGAAAGAGAAAACAGCTGTTTGCCGCCAGCTTATTCAATTGGGGTTTCATTGCGTACTGTACTACTATACTGTAATGAGTGTTACCGGACACCAATCAGCTGATTATACTGTATTTAGGTGGCAATGAATGGTTATAAACAAAAACGTAATGAGTAGTGATTTTTAGTCCTTTAGTTGGTGGGAATATATAAGGATTTGTACAGATTTATTAGTATGGCGTAAAATAACGTACGTAACTCGTCCAAAATGTGTGTACCGGACACGTATGGTAATCCCGTACTCGACTTCGTCTCGCACGAGAACGACCACACTCGTACGGTAAACACACTTATTTTCAGGACTAGTAACGTAATATACTATTACAGTGTACTTAGTCAGCTGTTGAAATAAACAGCTAATTTCAGCGGCCTATTTTATTTTCAGAAAAAAAATCTAATTTATGTTCTGTCCTAAATAAATTGTGTCGCACGAAAATCCCGTACTCGGCTACGCCTTCTATAAAACACCTTACCGCTTACCTGGCTAGTAACCTAATACAGTAGGTATATACTATTTCTTTATACCTACTGCATTTAGATAAGGTGTTTAAGTTTCTTAAGCAGCCATTACAGTTTACAGTTGGTTCTGATGTGTGTTTGTAAACACTGTAACAACTCTATGATTTATTTTAAATACCCCCCGCAGCAAACCTGCAGACTAAACGAATTTCCATTTGCTTGATTGGATTTACACTATCTCCTTAAAATATCACAATATTATTCCCTATTTCAATATAGCATTAGTTTAACAAGTACTTAGGTATGTTGTAACAGGGAGGGTTTTAAAGGTTTTTTTTATATTATTACATATAGGTAGTTTAGTATGAAATAAATGCATTTTCAAATTTTGATCAAAAGATGTTCATAAACAAGCTAACTACAACAGTTTACTTATTCTCCATAAGAATATCATTGGGATTTTAAATTTAAAACGGTTTGAGTTTTCTCCGTAACCATTAGGCGCATAATAATGCTTCAATATACTAAATAATTTGTTATTAAGCTCTACAAAATAGTTTGGAAAGAAATTATTGCAAAATTTTATGTTGTCATTGCTTTTTATGGATCGCCATGTTGGCAATGGAAAGGTTAACAAAAGAATCAAAGCATCTCCAGTTTGTTTAGGCAAATTAACGCAGTTTTTTAATTTCCTCATTTCCGGTGTAAGTTTCTGATACAAATGTACTACAACTCATTTAATATTTCAAAGTGTAACAATGAACAACGTAAATTTGTTATTTGGATTAATCTGTTTTAACACTAAGCTAGCAAGTTAAATGAAAAAACTATGTACACCCCTACTATGTCATTATATATTTCAAATAAATGTATGATTGAAAAAACTTTGATGGATACCATAATCATCCTCTAGCAAAGTTTGGCCTAGGTAGCAAGTTTTAACTACCTTCTTACACGAAAAAAAAACAGTTAATAAATCATAATACAAGTGCGACAAATAAATGTCAAATTATTTTAAGCCTTCAAACGGCAGAACACATATTATATACACAAGATAGTTGAGATAGCATTGACAAATTTGAAGGAGACTGCAAGCTGCAAGCGCCGTGAATAGAAGTCGTTCGGAGTTTAAAAAAAAGAACGACTCTCAATATACTCAACCGATCTGTTCAGCAAGAGCTGTTCACCTTCAATTTGAATCTCCCGCTCTTTGTCGATCTGTTTTGCTTGTCGATATTTTGCGTGTCGATAAAGTGGGAAAATTTACACAACCGTCCCACATAACAGACATCCCACATAACCGACATCCCACTTTACAGACATCCCATATTACCGACACTGTCGACATTTTGAGTTGTCGACAAAGTGGGACTATTTCAGTGTCGATCTTTTGGGATGTCGATAAACTGGGACCCCACGGATGAATGAGTGAAGAGAAGAGCGAGTCTGCTGAGTCAAAAAAGGCGCCAAGCCGTCAAAGGCGGCCGTGTTCAAGAAGTCATGGCAAGGCAAACAAGAAGAGGAATGGCAGAAAGGAAATGGTCAATATTGATGGAATACCATTAATACCAAACCATTTATAAAACATACTCCTCAAGGAGGTTGAGGAGTATGTTTTATCTTTATCTATGCCAGGATCCGAACCCACGACATCGCTGCCTTGGGCCCGAAGTCCGTGATGCTACCAACTGAGCCACCGACTTACCTAATACAGATCTAATGAAGACCGAAGACCTAGAGGTATACAAAGAGTTAAACGCATTCCTTTGCATGATCGAAAGACCTCTTTATAGAAGACAAAAACACACTGACACACTAAAAACAAACCTAAATGTTTCTCCCGTGTGTTCCTGGCTGGTGGGTTCTTCATTCCACACCCACGGTCCTATCCTCTTTCGGGTTAGGAAACTCTGCTTGATATACCCCAAGCAGTGAAGACACTCAATCCTGACCTTTCTCAAAATCCCATCTTACCATTAGAAATATCCCAATCTTTTTGAAAAACAAATTACAAAATAATAATATTAATAACCATGTGTGAATAATAACTATGCTAACAAAATTATTGACAATTAACCATGTGTTTTTACCAACTGTTTCAGATGATAATACTAACCCGAAGGAAGCAACCAAAATTAAAAAGTTATGTTTAAAATATTGAACTACGCGGCTGCATTGTTTTAATCGAGCAAAGCCGGCCGTTTTTGTCAAAATAGAAAAAAAAACAACAACAAAACAAAAACAAAAGACAAGACAAGACGACAAGACAAGTAACTAAGTAAGTAAGGTAGCTAATGTTAGGTTATGAAATGAATTTAGTTTCTGTTTTCTGTTGACAAAAATAATTTGAATAATATGCCTATTGTTTGAATAAGATTAGTTATTTTTGTTAACCATCGTCTAAATTGTAAGTTGTAATTTGTGTAATAGTCATAATGTCTTGATCTTTTTCGTAAAGGTGAAGTGTATGAATAATCTGTTTTCAAACTAAACAGAGGCTAACATAGTCCTAGGCTTGTCGTCCTTAAGTTGTAATAGGTTTTATTTGAATATTTCATTTGATATATACATTTTGGTTGGTTAGGTTTAATCCTAACCTGTTAGTATATAGTATGAGAGTTGCATTTTTCAGTTATTGCATAACGAACAATATTAGCGAATGCAAACATTTATTTTATTCCAAAAGTGCCGTTTTATACTTAATGTATTTTAATAGAGAGTAAAAAAGAGGAGATTTCGGCTGCACTTTACTTGACGTCCTACACTCATTTGAATGAAAATATCGATCGATTAATCGATTGCTTCATTCGATATATCGTTTGGTTAGTTAGGTAAGGTTAACCTAACCTAACTAACCAAACGATATATCGAATGAAACAATCGAATGAAAATATTGAATCGAAAAAAACAATCGAATGAGTGTAGGACGTCAAGTAAAGTGCAGCCGAGATTTCTCACTTTTTGCTGAAGTCCCCCGGAGCTAAATTTTGAACGTCAAACCCAGTAATCTCCAGCAGAGGCGGCGTTTAGGGGGGGCCTGGGGGGGCAGCTGCCCCCCCCCCACTTTCACAAGGAATATTTATCAAAATTATAAAATTATGGAATTATGTCAACAATAAATCTAGATTTTGCCCCCCCCCCCACCTCTCAAGCCCAATCGCCGCCACTGATACTCAGCCCTGACCTCTAGAATGTCGCCTACGACAGCCTCCTGAGGTCTGAGACGCCTGAGGAAACTGTGTTAGTTAGTTACGCAGATGACGTTGCAGCTTAAATAGCTGCACTTAGCGTTGAGCTTGCCCAGCTGAAACTAAATCGAGTCATGCGCACCATTAACGCATGGATGGCAGATTATGGTCTCTCACTCGCTCTGGGCAAAACTGAGATTGTGATTTTGACTATGTATAAAGAACATAAAAGTAATATTTACCCTACATTCAATAGCCCTTATTACATTTTATACCCCAATTTTTACAGCTATGTGTACCATTTTGTTTAGAGTTATAAGAACTTAGCTAAGCCGATTACTAAATAAAAAAAAAAATGGTTCAGACTGTTTTAGCGAATTCCCTTATAGGGAAGTAGCTATTACCATAGGTCTTATCTTATAGTAAGACCTAGGACTGATTTACTTTTTCATTTTGATGTCCCCAGAGGCCAAAAACACTATTCGTTCAAATTTTTATTTAAATATATCTATATATATGTACATATATAGGCCTATATACATATTTTGATAAAATTTAGTTTGAAGGTGTAAGGCGAGATAAACTTGAATAAGTTCGCGAATCAGCATGATCGGACCATGGGAACAGGGTTTAACGGGGGGTTTTATGGGGGTAAAAATGGTGTTTTCAAATTTTTACCCTTGAAACACAAAATTTATCAATTTTTGAAGAGCTTACAAAAACAAATAGTTTAGTAAGCTATATCAAACTGTTTTTTACAGTTATTGGTTGCGGAGCAAATTCAAAAAATTGTTTAGGCTATTTAAAATTCCCATGTTATTCTTATGGAGAATATTGTAAAATGTTGTAGTTGCTGGCTTGTTTATGGATATATTTTGATCAAACTTGGCAGGTTTATTTATTTTATAGGCTACTAAGCTATTAATATTTTAGTAAAAAAACACACTTTAGGCCTATTCGTTTCCCTGTAGAAGCAACCGTAGGTAGGTACTGGTTGAACTTAAATGTTAATTTAATAGATTAAGTTAATTGAAAATTAATTCAGGCAAATTGAAATTCGCTTAGGCCTAGTAGGAAGGTTTGCTGCAGCGGTGGTAATTTTGCCATTAACTTATTTTATGGGTTTTAAGTTAACTTAAGAGGAAATCACCAATAAAAAAATTTTAAAAATAAAAAAAACACCTGGAGATGCCATAATATTAGTTAGTACCTACCTGGAAACTGGTAATTGGAAACTGGCTTCTAATTTCTTCATAAAAACCCATAAGTTAAATTACAAAAAAAACTGGATTTTCAAGAAATGGCTTGGTTTTGATTGAAATTTAGTATGCCATAGCCTTTTTGATTCCTAAAGGACTGTTCACACCGGCGTAGCCAGACGTATTAATACTTTTTCGAAATACGTAGCTGACGTAGCTCTAAATGTAATTCATAGAGGGTGTTCACACCGGCGTATTAATACGTGAGCTACGGAAGCTACGGCGCTGCCGCTACGCCGGCTAGCTACGCGTAGCTCGCATCGCCGAATACGCGCATGCGCACTAGCACACCGGGCTGTCACCGCCACCCTCCCTACACCTCATAATTAATTTATTAGTGGTAAATGTTGGACTATAACATGTTCACTTAAAACTATTAAATCACATTAATCTATAACATGGTTTATTATGGTTCATATAGTGGGCTGACATTTATGAAACATTAATTAATTATATAATATATATATAATAATATATATATAATAATATATTATATTATAATTAATTATATCTAGACATAGGTCTTACTTACACCATAGACTATTTTATAATGTAATCCTTATGGATGAGCAAAATTATTGCATGTTTTCTGGTAATATTTTTTTAATATTATAATATAGCGCAAATCTTATAGCCAACTATATACGGCCTAAAATTAGAGTGAAATATTTTTGTCAATTCAGGGTACTATAAAAGCTGCAATTTAACCTTGGCAATCTTAACTGAAATTCATGAATTACGAATAAAAATAAACAATAAACTAACAAATATAAAATAATATAATGAAATAAACAGACAACAGCCGGCTCGCCGGCTACGTAGCCGTCAAACGAAGCTGCGGTGTGAACAGTGCACTGGCGACGTATTAATACACCGAATACGTCTGCAGACGTCTTGCTACGCCGGTGTGAACAGGCCTTAAAAAATGGTGCAACCCGCATTACTGTAATAATTACAGTTAAAAGTTATTGCAAATTTTGTGATTTTTCCCATACAAAATCTTAGTTGCTACCATGCTTAAGTTACCCATGATAAGGTTTGTTGACAAGCTAATGGGAGAAAGTATACCGTAAGTTATGTATCAGATTGCTGATATTGTTTATTTATTAATTTATGGAAGTTGGCAGACCAATATTGTTTGACCAATGGTGTTTATATACAACTTGCATTTTTCAGGTAAAATGCTCTACCTTAGTGTTTCCAAACTCATACCAATGTATGGGCACATTGTGAAAAATTGCAAATCAAAATTGTGCATAGTCAGTCAAAATCTGAAAATAAGATCTGTTTTGACTAGACCTAACTCAAACTTACCCAAACAAGCAGAATCAAAAACTGAACCTCCCAACATTAAGACTAACAACCAAGAGAAAGACAAGATATTGTTTTACTACGAGAATCCAAGATATTATACTATTATAAATGCATTTGCATTTGTTCAGTTTTTCTTTTGGCTACATTTATCAGAATTTTCTCTTAACAAAGGAGAAAAGCTGAAAATGGAAAGCAATGAATTCTCACCATGGTGGAAAAAAATAGATTTGGAGGATAAAAAAACGAGAAAAATAGTCGCATCATCATGTTTTTTGATTGGTAAGTTTCAAAATATTATAATTAATTATAAGTGACTACACTATCCAAATAATGCTCAGATAGAGTGGGTCGTTGTGATTTTGAAGTTAATCTTATTGGTCAAAGTGATGGAGGTAGGTCTACTCAGTATCTTCTCACCTGTAACTTAGATAAGTTTAGTGCCAAAAATAGGTGAGTCAAAAAACACACATTAAGTTAACTGTTTGAACATACTGTTTTCTGAAAAAAAAACAAACAACAAACTGTTGGTTTACAACACTAGGCCCTACAATTCTTCTTCCCTCCCTCCTCCCACATCCAAACCGAATGTCAGTAACAGGTGTTTGATTTTACCCAACTGTTTATTTCTGAGATAGGTTACCAAAAAGAGCAGGAAACGACCTCTTGTTTCTATTTGGCCAAACTGAAAACATTGTTTAAACAAAATCTAAGTTCAGCAGCAGTACCATAATACTGTTAACTGTTTTGCTTAAGTTATCTCTTGTAAATAAATATTTTGTCTCTTTGCCTTTGCAAGTTAAACTGGAGTCTCAGGTTGATTCTGTCAAAAAAAAAAATAATTTTCAAAACAGTAAGTTATGCTTCATTAAAGCTGTGTAGGCCTAACTCTTTTAGGGTTAGGATGGTTTGGGCCACATTTCCTAAAAGTGTTTTAGGTTACTCTGTAACCCACTTCAAACATCTAATATATTTTTTTAGCAATTTTAAAAGGTTTTTGACATTTTTTTCCTAAGCCCAGTACAGCATGTTACAATATATTAAAAATGGCTTGCTATGTAGTACATTTGACATTCTACATCCTGTAGCTCATAAACAAGCAACTTGGAAAGGAAATGCAAAGAATATAATAGGCTTAAAATTGTATCTACATTCTAAAAAGATCATAAAATACATATGTAAAATATTGATTGCACATTGCACTGTTTCAAAAATGGCCCCGCCATTTTCCAAATAGCAGCTAACCTTCATATGGGAACCCTCTATTTTATGGTTCACACTATATACTAAACTTGTTGTCCGTGAATACTGGTACGGTACTAAGTTTTTATTCTTGATCTCTTTCTAGGCTATCTTATTTTATCTGTGTCTTGGATTTATACACTTCGTTCAGTTCGTATGTTGGTGCTTCGCAAGGACAACAAAACTGTTTCAATAGTTACCTACGGCCCATTTGCTCGCAATAGAGTCTTGGAGGTTCCTTTGGAAAACGTAAGTATTTTTTTTTCAATATTGAGTTGTAAATATCTAATTTAATGCATAAAGTAATATTTAATCAATTTCATTTTTGGTGTTAGCCTCCTGATTACGTTGAATATATAAATTGGTGTAAATCATGCTTCTATGTAATCCAAATTGTTGCAAAGGCATGAAACTAGTTTCGATTTCACGAAGAAGTCATCTTCTGGCGTCCATGGGATGTCGTTTTTTGAAGAAAAGATTTAAAGAACATCTTCCAGGAAAAGTATGCCCGCTCAAAACCTCAACCTTTGCCGAACACTTAGTTTCCAATAATCATAATTACACAACTATTGGCAGCAACCATACTGCATATTATCTAATGACCATTTTAACAAGAATACACTTGAAGAATTAAATATAGTAATCATATCACATAGTGTTGTTACTGTCTCTCTCTTACTCATTACGTCTTATGGCGATTCCGCGTTTGCGCTCACAAAATACGCTATATCTCTGTTCATAGTGGCTCGATTATCAATTGGTTTACACAGTTGTAATCTGCATGAAATTGCGGAGATTATGGTATATGTTTTATATTAAAATAACTCTTTTTTAGATTATATTAATTCTTGAATCTACTAAGTACGGTTTGTTATTGCCAGTAAATAGATAGTTGTAAAATGAGAAGTTAACCCTTCCCGAACGGGCGAAATCATGACATAGAATGGGAAAAACAAAAAATTATAGGAAAAAAAATAAATTTGTCTTATTTGTGTTTTTTTACAAGTATAGGCCCTACATAAAATAAACACAATGGAACACTTCATACTGTCAAAATAATTTTTTACTCGCTTTTAACTATGCGGATATTTCCACTACCCTTCTGCGGATGAGTAGAAAAGCAGCGGATATATCCGCCACCCGTCTTTGAAGATGACAACGTTAGGCAATAAATAAAGGACAATATGTAAACAATAAAGACAACGTAGTGTTGAGCGCGGAACATTGAGGGGGGAGGGTAGGAGAGGTGGGTGGTGCGCGGGAGGGGGGTCGGTGCGGGAGTGAGGGGGGAGTGGGTGAGAGAAGGGGAGAGTGCGGGAGAGTGCGGGAGAGAGCGCAGCCATGGAGAGAGGAGGAAAGTGGTGCCTTGGTACCGCAAAACTTCTGGTTACTGCTGAAGCACCTGCCAGTCTGTCTAAAGAGAAGGCGGATATATCCGCTTCCCGTCCGGAACATCAAAAACCATAAGTGGATGTATCCGCCCCGTCCTTTATCGCCAAAGACTTAGGCGGATATATCCGTCACCCGTCCGGGAAGGGTTAAATATTCTGTGTTTAAGGTACGGTAATTTTATTGATATGTTTCAGATTACTACCAATGTATCAAGAGAGTTCGCCAAAACTCAGTTACCGATTAAAGTTAAAGGCAAGTGGTTCTACTACATTTTGGATGTAAAGGAAGGTAAATTCCAAAACCCTGTGCTTTTCGACCACACAGCTGGAATGAAGAGGACTTTCAAGTGGTATGTTGTAAGAGTTTCACACTTTTTTTTTACGTTTGATTTAAACTACTCACGTACGTTTGATTTAAGTTGGGCTTTTACGTTATGATTGTAACAAATGTAGCCTGATGTTTGTTATTTAACTTTTAACTGACCACTTCCTTAGCAAATACTGCAGCTGAATATTAGGTGAGTATTTATTTTATACTGCTTAAGAATAGTCCTCTTCCTTCCCTCAAGCTACTGTGAAATGCAGACATAGGAATAGGGTTGGTCGATACATCGCAATAGTATCAAAAGTTCGATTTGATTCGATACATAGAACAATCTGTGATAGACTTAGATATTAAAAACAAGATTATAACAATTATAACCTCAATGATAACTCCAGTTCAAGTCTAACATAATTTATTGTCAACATTATTATCAAAGACCCTACTACTACATATCTGGATCGGCTGATCACCACTGATAACAAAACCTGATAGCGCTGACTTTAACCCCCGAACAGGACCGGCGTTGTGGTATTTTTGTGATAGGCCTATCGTAAATAAAATATCTATTTATATGTCGTATGTGTGTAATGAAATCATCAACAAAGCTAACCAAACAGGTAATGTATTTCCTGGACTGGTGATGTGTTTGACAACTGCATTTTGCTGAAACATCTACCGGTAACACATATCTGTTACCATTTGAAACTTCATGACATGTACAGTAAACCTATAATAGTGTCTATTTTAGGAATCCTTGAGTGTAGGGGAGAGTGTTGTACCTTTGACCATCTTGTACCTTTGACTACCAGCTTTGACTATTAATACAACAACAGTCATGTGGTGAAATCTAGAGGCTGTATAGGGAAGCTAATGAAACTAGTTCATAGATCAGCCACCAGAGGACTACTTCCCAGGTTGCATTGGAGATTGAAAGCTGTGTTTGTTGGAAGATATTTTAGTCCATTCATTTTTGCTACTGAAAAGTAAATATTTGTTGACTTATTGTTTGTTTTATAAAATGTATATTTGTCAACAAATAAAATCAAAAGTGAGGGGTTATCATTTGTTGTTTATCCTCTAACTTCTCTTGGATGTTTGAAACTGATATTATCACCTATCTTTTGAGAATATACATAAAATGGCGGGAAGCGCTAGTGGTGTATCTTTGACCATTTAATGGTGGCGTTCCTTTGACCAGGTCAAAGGAACAACATCATCTGTATTCAGTGTAGTTATTACTGGTTGTTATTGAAATATGCTAATGTATTAATACTAGTAGTACGCTTATTCTGTGCGTAACAGGATGAGTGAACATGAGCGCAATAATGAAAGAGTTTACCCACACCTAGCACACTTACCGGTGTCACTGGTGTACACAATAATGTTATTTGTATGGGCAAATCAACCCATGAGTCGGGGCAAATAATGGTGAGTCAGTGACTCAAGTCGGTAGCGTCACGCGAACTTCGGGCCCAAGGCAGCAATGTCGTGAGTTCGGATCCTGATCACTGCCACTAAATTTTATCAGTACAGTTCACCTTTGTACTGTACCGGCTCACCAATTGCTTTGCTGTAAACGATCCACGCACGGGCGAGGTTAAAAGAGGCTGGACCAACCTCTTAAAAAAAAACCAAATCTCAGTCAACAACAATCCCAACTTCTCGTCCATTAATTAACCAAAGTCATTGGTAATATACGTAACGTATTTCCTGTTTCCCTCTCTTCTCATAGCATTTTATTATTGCAGATACGTTAATCTAACTGTCACAAAGAGTTCCCACACTCTGGACTGTTCACCTTGACTACTTCCTTTACCACTTCCTACGACGTGGACCTGTTCCCTCTCTTCTCATAGCATTTTATTATTGCAGATACATTAATCTAACTGTCACAAAGGGTTCCCACACTCCGGACTCCTCGCCTCGACTACTCCCTTCACCACTTCCTACGTCGTGGATCTGTTTCCCTCCCTTCCCATAGCATTTTTAGAATTGCAGATACTGTACATTATTCTAATTATCACAAAGTGTTTCTACACTCCGGAATGCTCGCCTCGACTATTTCCTTCACCACTTCCTATGTCGTAGACCTGTTTCCCTTCCTTCCTATAGCATTTTAGAATTTCAAATAGATTAATTTAACTTTCACAAAGGGTTCCCACACTCCGGACTGTTCACCTTGACTACATCCTTCACCACTTCCTACGTCGTGGACCTGTTTCCCTCCCTTCCTAGAGCATTTTAGAATTTCAAATAGATTAATTTAACTTTCACAAAGGGTTCCCACACTCCGGACTGCTCACCTTGACTACATCCTTCACCGCTTCCTACGTCGTGGACCTGTTTCCCTCCCTTCCCATAGCATTTTAGAATTGCAGTTACATTAATCTAACTATCACAAAGGGTTTTTACACTCCAGAATGCTCGCCTCGACTACTTCCATTACCACTTCCTACGTCGTGGACCTGTTTCCCTCCCTTCCTATAGCATTTTAGTATTGCAGGTACGGTATATTAATCTAACTGTCAAAAGGGTTTCTACACTCCGGACTGCTCGCCTCGACTACTTCCATTACCACTTCCTACATCGTGGACCTGTTTCCCTCCCTTCCTATAGCATTTTAGTATTGCAGGTATATTAATCTAACGGTCACAAAGGGTTTCTACACTCCGGACTGCTCGCCTCGACTACTTCCATTACCACTTCCTACGTCGTGGACCTGTTTTTCTCCCTTCCTATAGCATTTTAGAATTGCAGTTACACTAATCTAACTGTCACAAAGGGTTTCTACACTTCAGAATGCTTGCCTCGACTACTTCCATTACCACTTCCTACGTTGTGGACCTGTTTCCCTCCCTTCCTATAGCATTTTAGTATTGCAGGTATATTAATCTAACTGTCACAAAGGGTTTCTACACTCCGGACTGCTCGCCTCGACTACTACCACTACCACTTCCTACGTCGTGGACCTGTTTTTCTCCCTTCCTATAGCATTTTAGAATTGCAGTTACACTAATCTAACTGTCACAAAGGGTTTCTACACATCAGAATGCTCACCTCGACTACTTCCATTACCACTTCCTACGTCGTGGACCTGTTTCCCTCCTTTCCTATATTATTTAAATATTGCAGTTACATTAATCTAACTGTCACAAAGAGTTCCCACACTCCGGACTGCTCGCCTTGACTACTTCCATCACCGCTTTCTACGTCGTAAACCTGTTTCCCTCCCTTCCCATAGCATTTTAGAATTGCAGTTACACTAATCTAACTGTCACAAAGGGTTTCTACACTCCAGAATGCTCGCCTCGACTACTTCCGTCACCGCTTCCTACGTCGTGGACCTGTTTCCTTCCCTTCCTATAGCATTTTAGTATTGCAGGTATATTAATCTAACTGCCACAAAGGGTTTCTACACTCCGGACTGCTCGCCTCGACTACTTCCATTACCACTTCCTACGTCATGGACCTGTTTTTCTCCCTTCCTATAGCATTTTAGAATTGCAGTTACACTAATCTAACTGTCACAAAGGGTTTCTACACTTCAGAATGCTCGCCTCGACTACTTCCATTACCACTTCCTACGTCGTGGACCTGTTTCCCTCCCTTCCCATAGCATTTTTAGAATTGCAGATACATTATTCTAATTGTCATAAAGGCCCCCCACACTCCGCAGCGCTCGCCTTGACTACTTCCTTCACTACTTCCTACATCGTAGACCTGTTTCCCTATCTTTCCATAGCATTTAATTATTACAGATACGTTAATTTAACAGTCATAAAGGGTTTCCGTACTCCTTTCTTTTCACTGCTCACCTTTCCGCTTTCTTTACTACTCTCTACGTCGGGGACCTTCCCCCCCCCCTTCGCATAGCATTTTAGTATAAAAATATACCAACATTTTTGAATATTTAATATTCAATGCCAACATTAAATTGAATAATGTAAAAAGCTGCTTTGTTCTAAATATGTACATACATACCTATATACTTTTAATTAAAAGGCGAAATTTTAATACTGAACATAAACGGTATATAACTGCCGACTAATATTGTTAAGTTCAATTTATTATTATGAAAGTTGTGAGATTTAATTAGCTTAAATAACATTATTCTGAAAGCTGTGAAATTATAATGATATACATTCATAGACGCCAAACTGTTTACTCCATGAATGAAAGAGCTTAGAGTAAAAGTCGTTCTCTCTGTCTTAAGTAGACAACAAAATTGTTGGTCACAAAACGTAAACAAATAAAAAGAAGAAGAAGGTAGCTCCTAATGTTATTCTTATGGGACAAATTTAAAAATGTTTTTTTAAGTATTTTATAATTACTACTGAGCGGAATCGTCTAGAATTTTAATGGTGTCTTTACACTGGTGTCATAACTATTTGTGCAAAATTTGAACGCTATAAGTGCAACGGTTCTTGAGTTTTAGGTGCGAACACACACACACACACACATACTCCAGCGGACAACTTTTCTCCGACTCCGCTATACACGATACATAGATTCGTTCACTTCGTTCACTCATCTATTAAGCCATTGTTTTGTGGAACCGACGGGAGGTTGTCGACAAGCTCCCCAACACTGCCAAATCAAGTGGATCAGCACATCAAAGAGAATTTTTCAATTTTGGAGTGGACTTTTCATCCTACAAAATAGAATAAGCCATTTTTTAGCAAATTTTTATCTTTATGAAATTAATAATAAGCTCAATTATGTGTATCCGGTTTTATATTTTAAAAACTACCATGTAATATATTTGTTTTTTTTTACCCGTTTTGTGCTAAAATCGATATGCTGGTCAAAGGTACAACACCCACTAGTCAAAGGTACAACTGCATGTTGAACCTTTGACCACTATGTAACAAATTTTCTTTATTACTAAAAATAGGTTAAAACTTATGAAAAGGAACAAAAAAATAGTTATTCTATGGATGAAACAGTTAAGTATCATTGTTGATTATTTTTTAAATAATTGGAGTTTTCCTGTCTCTACAAAAAAATTGTAAGTGAAAACTGGTCAAAGGTACAACACTCTCCCCTACTTGGGTCTACCAATCCTACTGCAGTAAATAGAATAATGGTTCCCAGGTTATAGAAACTTTAGATATACTAATACCAATTTTAATTTAGATTTTTACCTCAGTCTGTTACAAAGGTACAAAGACTACAAAGGTAGGTATTTCAAGCCAAGTATGAATGGAGATTAGTGTAGGATGAGTGGCACGATCTTGTAGTCTTGTAACTGGCAAAGGTCGACATGTTTGTCAGACAGGACTGTTAATTAATAGTCCATACAGAATATTATATGAAAATTATAGTAATTAGGGCTACTATTTTGATATAAAATACATTATTAAAAACAAAAACTAACTACCCTTTTATAATAATATGAGTTTTAAAATGGTACTTAGTTTTCAATAATGCTATCTATAATATTAAAACGAAACAGTGTTTTTTTATTTCACGATTTTGAATCAACCACTCGACGGATTTTCACGATTTTTGTGTCGAAAGAAAGATAATTTTGAGAACTAGGGAATGTCGAAGCCATAATTTTAGTTTAGGGTCCCGGTTTTTTAGTAATTAAGTTTTAATTTTTAAAAAGTCTAGCAGCCGACGCTAAGATTCTAAACTAGCTTTTGGCATAAAATAATTTGCTTAACATAACAGCTGTAAACATTCAGCTTTTGTGTCACAAATTCAGCATTTGGATAAAAATGTAAAGACATACTTAGGATTGACTTATTTATACTATGTGTAATGCTAATCATTGAAACGTTCAATTCTTCTGTAAGAGGATGACAGATTAATTAAATATACATAGTAAAATACTAGGATGTTCAAATTATTTTTTCAAGCAATCTTTGTAATCTTCGATTTGTTTTAGAGCAATATAATTAGTTTTAACTAACAGCTGGTTAAATATAAACTATGGAACTATGAGGTTATTTTATTTTTGTCATTGATTATAGGAAATAAGTAAGATTAGTAGAGATAATTAGACCACAGTTTAAACCACAGTACAAATCGAGGCTCTGTAAACGAGTCTTAATAAAAAAGGATAAATGCATATTATTTTACTGCTCCAATTTTCAAGGCAAAATTAGAAAAATAACAAAGTTTACATGTTTTAATTCTTCATGGTAGCTTTTTGTTTACAATTAATGTTTGTCTGCTTTAACTTTGTTAAGTTATAAAGGATAGGTGTGAAGAGTAGTTTTGATGTTAGGACCCCAAAGTTAAATTATGTGTACTGTGAATTTTATTGGATACTATCGTTTTATTTTAGGTCGTTTCTATTCAGACCTACTGGAAATTGTGTATAGTAGTTGTATTGTGGTGATAATAATTATGGAAGAGGGAGGTATGCTATGGAAGGTGGTATCGTTGACTAGGTCTATACACTTCTCAATTGACTATTACCATTGACTCTATTACTCTCTCTACTGTAGGCTACTTATAATCAGTGTGCGTCTGTGCGAATCGGCTGCTAATCTCACTTCAACGCTTTTCACATCGTTGCAGAATTGCTGTTTCATTGTAAACTTATCGGATTTAAAATGGATATCGTATAGGCCTATGATGGAATCAAAACATATTTGGTCACACAACATTTGTTTACAAGATTATTTTTCACATTAATACCGCAAGAAACTTTGTCTTTATATGTGTAAACTAGCTGATCTGAATTGTACACGGTTTTAACTGACTAGGCCTACTGAATTCCCGTACGTAGGACGGGCTAACACCTTGTATTATTAATTCTGAAAGTGTTTTTTTTTATCAAAATTGTGGGACTTGGACAGCTCACAGGATGATGCTAGAGGACTCAAATTAAAGGTCTTGGTGCCAGGGTGTCGGGAAAGTATGTCCAGAAATTATGCAGATTATGTCCAAACCCAGCAGAAAACGAGATATAACAAAAAATCTCTTCCATATAAAATGCATTGTGTTTGAAAAACGTCTGTTTGTTTACATTAAACATGTGATTAGAAATGTATTATCATTTTTATTCTACTTTTAATTCTGTTGATAGAGTGTGTGAAGATTTTGTTTACTAATCAACAAATAATTTGTATTTTGATAATACAGTATGCTTTTTTTCTGTATTTCAGATGTGTTGTTGACTTCTCCCAAGAACAAGACTGAAGGAACAGTGTAGTTAATGGCAACATCTGTAACTAAAGTTATTACTTATATTCAGCTTGAATTTGAATAGTAAAAAGTAATGACGACTTTAAAAAGTTTTTATTATTGTTTTCATCATATTCCGATGTAGGACTTCAGATCTAAACCTCTATCATGCAATATAACCACAATATGTTTCGACATTCAGCTACTTCTATAAGATTTTAAAAACGATTAGATTTTGGATTTTGAAAAATATTAACTTAATTTTAAATTAATGTCACACTATTATCTTTAGTTCATTTTTCGTTTTCACCACTAGATTACTTAAATCTTTATCTGATAGTCAATATAAATTTAAAAATAATAACAACTACAGTATCATTAATTTAAAAAATAGTCATAACCCTCTTTTATCAAATATTATGATCTTAGATCTTGTTTAATGGATTGACATCAAAGACTGTACCTATTGATTTTGGCAACAATGGCAACATAATGCTGTTAAAAAGATATTGTAATAACATTTTATTGTTTCTACACCTATAAACTTAAGACATGTTAATGCAGGGGTGTGCACAATTCAATGTTATTCACCATCTGTACAATCCTTTGGTCTCACTGTATTTATTTTTAATGTTCAATAAGTAGATGTTTAGAGTGGATTTGTGTTGTAAATAGTAGATTTTCTCATGTAATATATTTATTGTAAAACAACAATGTTGTTTTTATTACCATTGACTCTGAAACTCAACAATACCAATGATTTAAACAACTTGCCCATGAATATTACAATTACAATATTACAATAGGCTAACAAGTAGCCTATTGTTTCTGTCCAATGTTTTATGAATGTATTGCTGATTGCTGTCAATATTAATTGATTTGCATCACTATAAACTAACTTCAGACTATTTACATACAACAAAATGTCAAGTGTTTGAATTTACCTATAAATATGTTCTTGTACATGTAAATTCTTGATAAAAGAAAAATTGATAGTCAACACTGGTTGAATCTGACTTCAATTCTCACATTTAACAATTAATTCTTAGCTGATGTAAATGAAGGAAAGAAATCCATACTTTTGTATTCATAGTCAATGCAATTTGCCTCTAGCTTATACTTAAACTCATTTCCTTTTATAATTTTGAAGAATCTAAGTTATAGTGTTAGTGTTAGCAAAAGGTATTTTGTGGAAAAACATTAAGTCCCACAAGAAAATAAATGATTACATTACTAAAAAAAATCAGCGCAAAGATTAATAAGATTGTCGAGATTAATGAGTTGTTGTTTTTTGGGTCATTTAAAATTTATAGAAGTTGGCAAATAATAGTACTGTGGCTGTTGTATCTTAAATATAAATAGTAATACAGTTTCCATATCTATAGTAAAATTGTCTAGAAAAACAGCATTTGTGAAAACGGTGATTTTTCAGTACAAATAAAAATACTAGTGATTGTTGACATTGTTAAATGGTCAAAGTACAATTAGTAATTCTAGTGTTTTTTACAATTGTAATGTTGCATACACTGCACCAATTGCTGTATTGCGCAAATCATCTGTGAAATACAAATACTAGCTAGACCTTCAGCCGAGCAATAACCTGCCATGACAGTTTAATTTTCCCTATTATCCTGGGTAACATCTCCATGAACTCATAATTAATTCACGTGGACTTGTGTCGTTTAACATGCAGGGCCTAATAAATACATGTGGGCCAGTAAGCATATTGGTCAGGCATGGTATTAGTTTTCAAACTTAAGTCCTTAGATTTGGCAGTTCTGAATGAAACTGTGTCTTTGTCCACTCACAATGGGAAGGTTAATGTTCTTTCTATTTAGTTTTTTCAATGTTTTGTTTCCACAAGTGAGAAGCTCTTTGCGGTTTCAAAGTGATTCAAATGATGAAGCAGAGACAAGTAAAAGTTTATTGTTAGTTGTACCTTTACTGCAGTCATTTCCATCTTTTTGTTTTATTTCTGAAAATCAACACATTTTAAATATTTTAATCGGTTATTTCCATGGTGAAAATAAAGTGTTTACTCTATTCAAGTCTGAAGTGGAATTGGTTTATAGTTGTGACAGTGTGATTATGGTGGACACTACACCTCAGCTAAGTGAAAAGGTCAGTTATAGGAGATTTAAAGGTGCTTTCTACTCACTACATACCAATAATACATCCTCTGTAAATCTAACGAAATTCAGCAATTGTTTTGAGAACAGTTCTTCACCTGAAGTGGTTGTGATGTCGTTGCAAGATGGTTCTTTTTTTGAACTGAGTCCTATATTTCCGTTTCCTCGTTCATTTTTCAAAAGTAGTGTTCAAGAAGTTATTGGCCATAGAAGCCGCTCAAATTTTGATGATTTCAAAGGGGTAAATTTAACAGGTGCTTTCATGAACTATCCTCCATTCACTATTGTCAGGAGTGAAGAGATCAAGCGTGGGAAGATTAACAATTTTTACTTATGTCTTATCTTAACAATTTTTATTTGTGTAAATTTTATGTGTGTTATTGGGAATACAAAGCAAATGTATTCGAAAACATGTTGTAAATTTGAGATTCAATGGCAAAAAACACCCATCCAAGCCAGTTTTTTTTTTTTAAAGTTTACAGAATTAGTTGTTTGATTGGTTACCATTTAAGTAGGCTTTTTTATTTTTTTTCGTCATTAACATATATTCTGCAAATTTTATTTAAAAATAAATAACTCAATGTAGTACATAATGTTTCCGCAGTTGGTTGTTACAAAAGTCAAGAGGCTACTTAAGATTTTCAAATACTAAAATAATATTATACAATATAAGGGTAGATCAATAAAAAAGTAAAAAAAAAACTTTGAAACTGTCAGTAAAACCACTTTAATCTAGTATACCATACGATATACCTACAACATATGCTAAAACTGGGCTTGTCTGTCCTCCCCCTTCCCCAAAAAAGGGGGTTACTTATCCACACATCAACACATATAGCATGGCTTGCTTGTACAGCAATCCTATTAAGATTAATGTTATTTAAATAGGAAATAAATAACATTACTTTTAGTTTTAATGAGTACTACTACCCCATAAACAAGCAACATACAGCAATTCATTTATTCTCCATTAGAATAACATGTGAATTTTTAATTTACACTTTTTTTAATGTTCTCAATAAACGTAAGGCATACAACAACACTTCAATACACTAGTTTATTTCTTTTTGCTAAGCTCTACTATATAAAATTTTTCCCTACCGTCACCCGACAAAGTTGGATTCCTTGTACTGTTTATGGTACAGAAAGCTGCTAATTGCTGCATATTTATACTTTGTCGTACGGTTTATACTTTGTCGTATGGTTTATACTTTGGCGCACATCAGGACTCCAACGAAACAACACACAGCGTGGTTCTATTATGAATGTTATCCGTGTACGCTTGGAGATAAGTTGGCAACACTTAATGAAAAATAATACTATTAGCAGCTGATTGACTATTATAACTACGATTTAACCTGTCATTTCGTGTTTATAGTTTACTAGCTGTAACCCGCGGGCTTTGCCCCGTTTAACTTCTTAATTTTTAAGATTATCTCGTTCGCATGGCTCAATCACGTCCTGGTTGAAGTTTGTTCGCTACGCTCACTCACCTTTAAGTTGGAGCTCGTTCGCTACGCTCACTCACCTTTAGGTTGGAGCTCGTTCGCTGCGCTCACTTGCCTTCAGGTTAGCTCATTCGCTACGCTAATTTGCCTCCAGGTTGAAGTTCGTTCGCTACGCTCACTCACCTTTTGGTTGCAAATTAGCTGTTGTCATAAATGTAAAAGAAATAATAGTGCTGCACCCTGTTGGTAATCCTTGTAACTTTAATGCTATTGAACATCATAGAACAGAACCAACTTGTTTAGTTGAATCAGCTGTTAAGATTCAATAATTCCATTTCTCATAAGGTTAACATGGGAAACTCCAGAGCCATTGGGGCGGAGCCCGAAAGGATTTTTGAAATAAGAATATGCCTATATGTTAATCGGGAATGTGAGCTATCATCATGCCAAATTTCAGCCCAATCCGACCAGTATTTTTCGCGTTCACTTGTCACAAACATACATCCATACATCCATACATCCATACATCTAAACTTTCTCATTTATAATATTAGTAGGATATGTTCTCTGAACTTTCTGGACTTTTCTTTTAAACGTTTTTAAAACATTCCTACGATCTTAATAAACAAGAAAATACCTGCTTTAATGCATTTTTTTAGGCGCGGAAACCACTGCAAGTTACAAAAACATACGGAACTATTTTCTCAAGTCGCGGAGCACATTGCTTGCCGAGGAAAAATTAGCGGAGTGATATGGACCGGTGACTACTTTCTCCCGTTTTTTTTTCTATTTGTGTTGCCAGCTGAACCTAAAAACGTGTTGTATAGTGTTTGAAAGACTAATTATTTGTATGCTTTATAGTGACTGTAGGAAAAATATATTGTGTAACACAAGTGAAAATGGCCTTTGCCACAGCCACCTCTAATACTAATAATAACTATAATAATAACATAACTTTGGAATGGATCAAGATTTTTAAAAACGGTTTGCGGCATTGTAATCAGGGTAAAAATCTAGTTCGAAATAATAAGCCATAACGCCACCTTTACGTTTGAAAAAAATATTTTGCATCCAATATGGCGGATCCAAGATGGCGGCCGGAAATGACCACCTTGTCAAAATGAAGTACTTAATACCCAACAATGTTTGGAAGTGGTCTGGGATTGATATTTGAAAAAATGTAGAAAAAAGATGGGGGGGGGGGACAATTAAAACTCACCCTGTATATTTCATGTATGAGTGAAAATTTAAAAACGTACGTTTTCATGTCCCTGGCCTTTTACTTCGTAGCTACTGGATTTGTAGTTTATTATTATGTGTTTTAATATTTTTGGGATGGGGGCAACATGTTACACACATTTATTTGGTTTTAAATAGGTTCTAGGTATTTTTTTCGTATTTTTAAAGTCTCGAAATTCACGACCATGACGTGTCCCTAGGGTACATTTTCCAACTTTCACGCTGTTTTTAGACTAATTATTCATGCCGAAATATATAAAGCCATATTTTTATGTCATCAATGGTTATTAAACTTACAAAAAAGGAGCATATTATAATTTTATTGTCATTGCAAACTGACTACCATGACATAATAAGTCTGTCCCTCGATTTGGTGTCACGACCATTTGGGAAAATTTTTCAACTTTGGAGCACGACAGTGGCAAGCCTGGCGTTGATGGAGTCAGTTGGTTTTAGAGACTAGTTCGGGGTGTACGTCAGGATTGTAGTGCCGGTCGTTTCGAGTTGAAAGGAGGAATTACAAGATTAATACAGGAAAGGTTGTGTTTTTTGTAATTTTGGTGTGTCCATGACCGTACATAGTCATTCGATGAAGTAGACATGGTGTTAATTTTTGTTTATAAGATATTTCAATTGCTAGATTAACCTAGAAGTCCACTTTGTATCCTCGAACATGAGGTGCAGAGCTACCGCCAGAACAGAGCCAAATAACACGTAATTTCACGACCAAAGTTTCACGACCATCGCGGGTTTTTTCACGACCTATCCAGCCTTATGGATTATAGTGTGTTTGGTCGTGACAATAACTTTAATATAATTGTAATTTGAACAGTTTAGTTCAATTGAAACACATATTTTTACTATAACTAACAGTATAATTAAAGGATTGTTT